ATATTGGACAGCAGTGGTGACAGTGGACATCCTTGTCTTGTTCCTGCTTTCTGTATGGTGAACCGTCCTTGCCTTCCTGGGATGAAGCCTACTTGGTCGTGATGTATGATTTTTTTTTTTTTTGTCCTGTGGATTGAACTTGGGTCCTTGCACTTGCACAGCAGGTGATGAACCCACTGAACTAAATCCCTGGCCCAATGATGTATGATCTTTTAGATATGTTGCATTCTATTAACCAGCATCTTGTTGAGGATTTTTGCATCTATGTTCATTAAAGAGCTTGATCTGTAGTTCTTTTTGGTTGGATCCTTGTCTGGGTTTGGAATCAGGATAATGCTGGCTTCCAGGAATGACTTTGGGAGAGCTCCTTCCCCTTCAATTTCATGAGTTTGAGGAGTACTGATGTTAGATCTCTCCTGAAGTGCTTGGAGAATTTGACAATGCATCCACTGGGGCCTGGGCTTTTCTTAGTTGGTAGGTTTTTTATCACTGCTTAGATTTCATTGCCTGTTGCTGAATCATTCATGGTTTTTAAATCTTATTCAGTTTTGGTAATTCATATGTATCTAAGAATCGATGCATTCCTTCTGAATTCCCCAAGTTTTGGGTTTTTGTTTGGAGAAGTCTGTTGTAATTCTCATGAGTTTTCCTTTATAAGTGACTCCTTGCATTTCTCTAATATGTTTAACAGTCTGTTACTTTGTTGGACTTCTGGGATTTGACTATGATGTGTTGTGGAGCAGTTCTTTTCTAATCATGGCAATCTGGCATTACACTTCCATTACCTGTATGTTAAATTCTTTTCCCACATTTGGAAAGTGTTCTACTGTTATTTCTGAAATACTTTTCTATGCTCTTTGTGCTATCTTCTAATTTTTCACTAATTCCAATTAACCTCACTCTTTTTTGCATCATCTAGCAGCTGTTGACAATGTTTCAGGTTTTTAAGGTATCTTTCATTAATTGGTCTCAGACAATGCCCATCTTCCTGTTCTGACACTTTATCCTCACATTGGTCACTTCTGCTCATACTTTTTTTTCCTGGTAATTTGGGAAGATTTATTTACTGGAAAGAGGGTTCTTTCACTAGAACTTTTCTGCAAGACAAAGCAAAATTACAATTTCTCTTTGTAAGATCACATTTTACTTTGGCACAATTAGACACAATGGTAACTAATCTACTTTGTTCTAAGACAAAGAAAATGTATTTTACTCTCACAAACTGATATGAGCCTACATTTTATTTCTAAAAAGTTTAAGGAAGGTCTAGTCTACCAGTTATAAAAATGAAAACCAGTTAGAATTGTAACATAAACATTATTTACGTTAGTTTATAAAATAGATTTGAATTTAGGAAAAGAATGTTGAGGTCTGGGGATTTAGCTCAGTGGTTCTGCTGCCTGCATCGCAAGCAAAAGGACTGGAGTTCAACCCCTGGTACCAAAAAAAAAAATGAATGTGGAGCAACTACTTAATTTTTACTTCCCTTCACTAAGCATAATGAATTCCTTGATTTTTCAAGGCTGACCTTGTTTCCTTGGTTAACAATGTCAATAAAAGTCTTCCTTATAGGAAAAAAAATTTAAGGAATCACTTGATTTCTGTTTCCAACTAGGTAAGTTACTGACTGAAAGAAATTAATCTTTTACATACATTCATATCTTTAAAAAGTAATATTCTAACCTTTCTGAAGATTACTATTGCCACAATTATGCCACCTATAGCACATTAATTTGCTCTCTGTGGGTAGCATTTTTGTTCCTTCAAAATCTATATATCCTAGGGTCAGGGATTTAGCTCAGTGGTTCCACCACCTGCCTCACAAGCACAAGGTCCCTAGTTCGATCCCCGGTAGCAAAAAAACCCCAAAAAAACTGTACATCCTGCCACCTGCCTCATAAGTGCAAAGACCCGAGTTTGATCCCTGGTACCCCGCCCCAAAAAAAACTGTATATCAAAACTAATGGGTCAGGGAAAGCTTACCTGTAACTGTCTCAGGGCTCTACTACACTGGCAGATAGTTTATTTGATCTAACATATTGGGAACTGATAAACTCATGTAAAACTCAAAATCCAGTATGATCCTTGAAGCAACCAAATGACATCAGGAAAATAAATCTTTTTTTCTGGGCTGGAGATGTAGCTCATTGGTATAGGGCCAGTGATGGCAAACCTTTTAGAGCTTTCAATGATAACAAACAGCTGGCTGAGGCATGTGTGCCATAGGTTTGCCTCATACTTTCAATAGAATGTTTAATCTCAGACTCTAATTCTTTTCTATGCTGACATTCATGTTTCACATTGCTTTGTTTAGCTCAGCTAGGTTTTTATTAGTGTCTTCTGTAGATTCCCTGATCATTTCATTTATTAGGATCACTATCTGCTTAGTCACACCTCTGAACTCAACAAGCATCTCAGTGATCCGTTTTTTCTCTCCTCTTTTACCCTTGCAAATAATTTGGTTGTGTGGCTTTTGATTTCCTCCCCTTTGATGTACCACGGACCAGCTTTGGGGAAGTTGGGAGTTTGGGGAGACATTTTGTCACCTTGTCTGCTCATGTTTGTACTTTTTGTTTGTTTTCTGTGCTGAGGATTGAGGGCTGATTATAGTGGAAGACTTTGTTGCTAGTACGGAGACCTCTTTAGTTAGTGTCTACTTTTCAGTGATGCATTCTGGGCATTGCTAATTACAGGCCTTTGCCTTTGTTCCAGAATCCCCCTATCTGTGTTTGGGGGGGTGGGGTACCGTGTATTTGTCTCAGTACCCTGTTTGCCAGGAATGGGCTGCAGCATTGTTAATGACAAGAAGGCGATCCAGATATTGGCACACAGAAAACCAGCTGATAACAACAACTGTCACCTTAGCTACAGTAATAAAATCAGCAACAATAACAGCATCAAAGACTAACTGGATATTGACATACTCTTAGAACCAATAATGTAGTACTCATAATCATGGAAAAGAAATCTTTGATTATAGTATAAACCTTAAGACAAACTAAATATTGATCTATAGTAAATATCTACTAAATGGAACGTTACCTCCAATAGAGGTAACAAATGATAACAATAGAACAGTGTTCAACAGTAATAGTATACGATTCTATAAAGATTCATAAACCTTAATGGTTATACCAGTAAAGTTAGAGGGCATCGTTGCCAGGTGTGCTGGCACACATCTGTAATCCTAGCACTTAGGAGGCTGAGGCAGGAGGATCACTGAGTTTGAGGCCAGGCTGGGCTACATAGTGAGTTAAAGGGCAGCCTGGGCTATATAGCAAGACCCTGTCGTTTGTGGGTTTTTTTGTACTGGGATCAAACTCGGGACCTTACACTTTTGAGGCAGGCGGCAGCACCACTGAGCTAAATCCCTGGCCCAGAAAGACCCTGTCTTGAAGAAAAACAAAACAAAAAGATACAGGGTATGAGGAATAGAAGCATGAAAAAAAAAAACCAATTTTAAACTTAACCAATGGAACATGGGAAGTGAGAAAAGTGAAATAAAGGAACCTATTAAGGAGTAAAAGGAAATTAATAGTATTATTTATTTATTTATTTATTTTTGGTACCGGGGATCAAACTCAGGACCTTGCACTTTCGAGGCAGGCGCCAGAACCACTGAGCTGAACCCTTGGCCCGGAAATTAATACTATTAAATAAAAGCAACAGAAAATACAAACAAGAAAAAGGAGGGGGAGGGAGAAAAATCAGAGAGCAAACTAAAGGGAAAAAATAGGAAAAATTAAAAGAGATTTTTAAAAAGGAAAAAGAGAAAAGGGAAAAAAACATCAAACACCAACCAATCAATCAATCAATCAAGGATTGGAAACATGGGTCAAAAAAAATTCCTCTGCATTTCCAAATGGGTGGTTTCCTTCCAGGGCCTACATTCCTGGAATCCAGCAAGCCACAGTCCTCTCTGCCCAGCTTCACAGCCTGTGGGTTTGAGATGCCCACTGGTGGCCCAGGGGCCCTTCCACCAGAAACCCCAGACTGTGGCAACTGTCCAAGCTGAGGCGCATTGCTGCTCACACTGGTAAACAGGAAGACAATCAGACCCCAGCCTCCACTGGAGGTAGGCAGTGGGGTGGGGAGCTCAAGCAGATCGCTGGACTCGATGGCATCACCTTCAGATCCCGCCAGGGAGGCAGTAGAAACTTAAGGAAGTGGGGCTTAGTGGTAGGAAGTTGGGTTACAGGGGCCTGAGCCCTTGCAGGGACACTGGGGTCTTGACCCCTCCTCTTCCTGCTATTCTTGCTTCCTGGCTGCCATGAGATGGGCAGTTTGCTTCACCATGAGCCCCTGTCACGTGCCACTACAGGCCCAAAGACATCAGGGTCATGCACTGTGCACTAAACCCTAAGAAACTGTAGGTCAAAATAAGCCTTTCCCCCGTAGGATTGCCTCAGGTATTTTGTCCCAGAAACTGAAAGCTAACAAAGTACATTATGTCCCCTCTGGTTCAGGGCCTTTGCGTATGCCATCCTGTGCCTGGGACTCCTCTGCACCCCACTTCCATTTCACCTATTGACACTGCCAGGACTCAGCTCAGGTCTCACGTGTCTCTTCCTAAGGAAGCCATGTGACCATCCAGTCCCCCTACCAGGTCACACAGATCCTGCCACGCCTTTGCCAAAGTCCTGTGTTATTTTTCTTTGGGGGGACATACCGGGGATCGAACTCAGGACCTTCAGCTTGGGAGACAGGCACTGGAACCACTGAGCTAAATCCCCGGCCCAGTCCTGTATTTCTTTTTTTTTTATATATCGGGGATCGACCTCAGGTCCTTGAGCTTGCGCAGCAGGCAGCAAAACCACTGAGCTAAATTCCCAGCCCTTTTTTGGGTTGTTTTTGGTTTTGGCACTGAGGATCAAACTCAGGACCTTGCACTTGTGAGGCAGGCACGGGAACCACTGAGCTAAATCCCCGGTCCCTGGGTCCTGTATTTCTTTAGGGCTCTAATCATAGTGCCTGAAAAATAGCTCAACTACAAATTACGATTCCTAGGACTCCTGTTTTATTAATGCCTGCCTCCCCTACTGGGCTGTGAGGGCAGGGACTGGCAGCTCTACCCCCAGCACCCAGCACAGGACAGGTACCCAAAAATGTATTTCAAATTAACTGAATACAAACAAATCCAGAAGCAGGGCAAACATGAGGAACGGTGATTTCCCAACTACAGTTTCATCTTCAATAAGCCAAGCAGGGGAGTCTTAGGACCCCTACCCTGTGACAAATTACCAACCTGTGGTGAGACAGAAAAGCTAGGTCCAAAGGGGATGAGGAAAATCATAATTTAAAAGCCATACATTACCAAGTAGAGGCCAAGTGTGGTGGCAGAGGCCTGCGATCCTAGTATTCGGGAGGCTGAGGCAGAAGGATCCCCCAGTTCAAGGCAAGCCTGGCCAACATAACCCTGTCTCACTCCCCCGACCCATTACACTTTTAAGAAAAACTACAGCTTCCTTGCAAGTGCAAGATCGTGAGTTTGATCCCCAGTACCAAAAAAAGAAAAACTATGGTTTCAGGACCAAAACATTGCCCAAAGTTACAATGCCTTTTTCCCATCCAGGAAATTACAAAAAGAAAAAAAATCTTAAGCATCTTTTTCATTTTTTAGGGGGTAGGTATGGTCTCACTATGTAGTTCAGGCTGGGCTTGAACTCGAGATCCTCCGGCCTCGGCCTCCCGAGTGCTGGGATCACAGGTGTGTGCCACCACAGCCAGCAAAAATCCTGAGGGTCTCAAAGACACAATAAGCCTGTAACTTGCTTTTGCTCCCAGACCTCCAACCTCCAGGAAGCTGCGCCAACACGTGGGCAGCATAACACGGAACTTCAACCTAACAGAGCCCCGCACACGAGGGGCCCAACAGACAGCAGGATAGGCACCCTACATCACCCATCCTGAGGACCCCAAGACCACACAAAAATCCCCACCTGGACCATAACCCTCCCTCCTCTCTCACAAGGACCGCACTCTGTTACTTGCTAAATTCTGCCTAATAAACGTTTCTGTGCCTCTCCCTGGCTCCTTTATTTCTTTTCTGTGACATAAGTCACAATCTACCCCGGAAGTGGGGTGAGGTCCCCTTCTCCTGTTCGGGGACCTCCCCAGCCCCACCCAGGGACAAACCCACCCCCCCCACTCAGGCGGGGAGACAAGACTGTGGCCACCAGGGGGAGTGTTTTGCGTTTTAAAGACTCTAAAGAACTCTCCTCCCTTCCCTCCATCCTGGGGGCTCAGATCTCAGCTTCAGCTTCACTCTCGGGGGAAAATGTGACCGAGGCTGAGGGTCCATCGCTGGGATCAAAAGAAGTGGGTGAGAAGGTGCAGAAAGAGGCTTCGACCCAGTCCTGGAGCTGGGTCATAAGTCCAAGTCTTTAGATTCAGGAACCAGAGTGAATGGCAGGTTGCTCTTTGCAAAGCTGCACCCTACTGCGCCAAAGACACCAGCATGGGCAGAACTTGGCCCAGGTACCTGAAGGGGTTACTTGAGGTCTGGGGTCAGGAGTGGCACCACCTCTGCTAGAGAGTTCCTGCGTCTGGCAGAGACCTTGGTCCAAGAGGTCTGGAGGAGGGGAACGGCCTTGGGTCACCAAGGAGCATCATCTGGGCCTGAGGAAGGAAAGTATCGGGCACCCCCGGACCAGGACCAGGACCAGGAAGGCAGCATATGCAGGATGGCAAAGCAACGGTTAGCATAATCTATCTAAGGGCGCGGCTGGACTCAGGAGGAGGGGACGGAGCTAAACCCGAGGAGGAGGAGCCTGGAGATGCAAAGGAACAGAAGCAATGAGAAGGACAGCCAAGCTGGGGAGCAGAAAAAGGACCCAGTGAGGGAGCACAAACTTCCGGAGGGTGGGCTAAGGCCTAGGGCCATGGGCAAGGGCCTGAAGAAAGATGCCGGGGTCCAAGTGCCTGTGGGCAGAAACAACCTGGGAAAGATGGGGGGCAAAGAAAGGTGGGGACAGTGAGCTCCAGGGTGGAAACAGACTGTGGGCCAGGTATTTCCCAGGGCTGGACTCAAGCCGGAAAGTGGGCTCAGAACCCAATGCCAGGCCCAGGAGCAGGGTCAGAACGACGGGAGAAACAGAGCATTATCCAGGTGCGCCGGGAGCCCCTAGGGTGACATCAAAGTGGAGAGGCATGGGGTGACCGGAGACACAGGGACAGCCAGGTCCCAGGGACAGTCGGATGAGGAAGGAAGGTCTCAGCTAGTCCCGAGGTCCCGGGTCTTGCTCAGGCTCAGTCCCTGGCACACCGCGGATGTCCGGGAGCAAGCGACAGCCAGCCACAATGTCCAGGCGCTCGGCCAGCGCACAGAGGTCCCCTCGCACCAGGCGCACGCTGTGGGCCGCCGCCAACCCTGCAGCCTGGGCGGCCGCCAGCCTCCCAGCCAGGGCAGCCACATCACGGCCCGCACGGCGGTACACACCGCTCACGGCCGCCACCACGTCGTGGTCCAGCCGCGCCTGGCTCTCGGTCAGCCGGAGCTGCAGCAGCGAGCGCGCGGGCGCGGGCGCCGGGGCCTCCTCCACGCCCCAGGCCTCCCCGGCCGCCTCCCGCTGCACCACGAGCGGAGGCAGGTCGGTGGGCGCGGCCGTGGGCTCTGGCTCCGGGTCCGAGTCTGTCTCCGCGGCCTCCCCGGCGATCCGATGCCCCATGGCCCGGCCGCGCGTCGGACCCGAAGGACCCAGGTACAGCTCTTCCTCTGACGATGAGGACGCAGAGGGCTCCGAGTCCGTCTCGGCTGCCTCCCCCGACACCATCGTCCCCGTCCTTCGCGGCAGCCTCCGCCTACGGCCCTGGGACGCCATGGGGTGGAGCTGGGGACAAGAGGAGCGAAGGGACGGCGTGAGAGAAAGGTGCCCGGGAGAGCCGGCGCGCCCGCCGCACTGGGTCGCTCAGCGATTGGGCCCTCTGTCCGAGTCTCCCCTTCTGTAAACTGGCTGATGATAGAGGCGAGGGGGCTCCAGCCGCTTCAGTGTACAGATGGTGAAACTGAGCAGCACCTCGATCAAAGCCGGGGGACCAAGTCCCCGAGTCGCAAACTGAGTTCCTTCCGGAGAGGAAGGCAGAGGCCGCACCTAGGCATCGTCCTCCAGCCCTGTTTCACCGGGAAGCGCTCGAGCTCCTGAGCCGCTCAACGACTAGGTCTGGCCACAGACAGGACGCCTTGCGGGGGACTGGGGAGGGCTCACTAACAGGGTGCGGGGGGTAGGGCGCTAACCAAAAGCCACAACAGCCCGAAGCCCCGAGCCCAAGGGATCCGCTACCTGAAGGAAGACAGCGAAGACACCTTGGGAGGACGGCAGTCTCAACCAATAGGAGCGCAGGTTGGGCGTGCGACCGTGAAGAAATGGGGGCGGGGGGGGTCGCTTTTCTACCAATCAGAAAGCAAGTTCTGAGCACCAGCTCGGAGGGCGTGCTCAGCCGTCACGTGACAGGGGCGTGACCAATGGGGAAGCGGTTGGGCTTGCGCTTCCGTGTTATGCTTGGAAGAAAGTCTGTACTTCACAACTCGGGGGTTTTTTAAAAATGAGAATGCGTGGGCCGGGTATTTAGCTCAGTTGTGCTGCCGCTTGCCCCGTAAGCGGAAGGACCCGCGTTCGATCCTTGTTATCAAAAAAAAAAGTGCCGGGCAAGGTGATGTACACCTCTACTTTTAGAATTCGAAAGGCTGAGGCAGGAGGATCGACGCGAATTTGAGGGCAGCCTGGGCTACATCGCGAGACTCTGTCTCAAAAATTAAAAAAAATTAAAAATGAGAATGTCCGCTTAGCGCTATGGCGAATGGGAAAGCGGGAAGACCCGGAAGCAGGGAAGGCACCAAAGTAAGGGCGGAAAATGTTATCACCCGCGGCCAATGAGAGGCGGAGTAGATTCTTCCCCAACGGCCAACCTCTCGCGCGCTTTGTGAGGCCCAGGGAAGTAGGCGGGGCCAATCTAGTCCACAGTGGAAGAGGAGGTGGGCGGGCTCGGGTCCCTAGGAGACGGGACTTGCTCAGCCTGACCAATGAAGGAAGCGCTGGGGCAGTAGGTAGGGGCTCAGGCTGGTGCATGGCGGATACCGTGCTGTTCCAGTTTCTGCACACCGAGATGGTGGCGCAGCTGTGGGCTCGGAACCCGGATCCACGCCCGGGGGTGAGCGCCGGGCCCTGGGGGGAGGAGGCGCGGGCCGCAACGGAAAGGCTGGATGGAGGCCCCAGGATGCGTGGAGGGTAGGATTGCCGCGGGGTTCAAACCCTTGGCTCCGCCCCTGCCTTGCTGGGTGACTTCAGAGCTGGCTTTTCCAAGTGAGGGTCGCGACAGTGCCTTCCTCGAAGGTATACCTGAAATTGAGGGAGATGACTCAGTATGAAGCACTAGTTCAAGGCTGGGCACTAAGTAAGCGGTTAGTAATTATAATAATTGCTGTTACTGGGCCTGTGCTGAGGATTCGCCTCCAACGCTCACTAATCAATCTTTTTCTTTTTCTGAGTTACTGGAGATGCAGCCTTTGAACCTAGGGTCTTCATACTAAGCTTCGTCCCTAGGCCTTGTTGTTTTCTATTTTGAGATGGCCTCGCCAAGTTACCAAGTTGCCCAGACTAGTCTGGAACTCACGACCCTCCTCCCTCGGCATCCCAGAGTGCTGGGATTACAGCGTCACCACGCTCCACTTAATCACTTAATTTCTGTATGCCTCAGTTTCCTCCTTTGCCAGATGGCATTCTAAGCGTACCCAAGTCTCAGAGTACAAGGAACACTTACTCATTGGACATTTAGCGATCTTCTGTTGTATTCCGGGCATTGTTCTAAGAAAAATGCTGATCTCTGGGAAGCTTAGGTTTTAGTACAGGAGTCGAGTAGTAAAACACGCCTGAAGCTAGTGAGAAGCTCTACGAAGAGATCAGGGAAAGAAGAGGGCTGGGTAGTGGATGATGAGGGAAAGTCTTTCTGAAAAAGGGAAGAGAGGAAACAGCAAGTCCCTGGTGGGACAACATCCCAGGAAGAGAGAAAGGAGGGTGAAGCCCTGAGGGAAGAGCATGCTTGGCATTTTGGAAGTTGCTCCCTCATGAAGAATAAATGAGTTAAAACTTTTAAGCACTTAGTAAGATTTCTAGAACATAGCCCATAAAATATGGATGCTCTTGTTATAAAAATCTGTTACTCAGGGCTGGGGATTTAGCTCAGTGGTTTTGCTGCCTGCTGAGCAGGCACAAGGACCCAAGTTCGATCCCCAGTACCAAAAAAAAAACTCTCTTACTCAGCTAGTGCTATAGCTCAGTGGTACAGTGCTTGCCTAGCATACATGAGACCCCAGTTCTCTCCAAGCCCTGGAAACAAATTTGTTAAGAAAAATGCCCGAGGAGCCTCACAGACTAGGTACATTAAGTGGTAGCTGTGGTCAATTTTTTACTTTTTTTTTTTTTTCTTGCCCAGCTACAAGACATTTTTATTGGCTCAGGTTTCCCCTCCCACATTAGGGTCTCCAGGGTGGCTGCTGCTTGTCCTCTTGGGTTAGTGTCTTCTGAGTTCGTTAATTCATTCAACAAACTTTTACCTAAGACCTGCAGGGTACCAGCCTGCTGTCGGCTCAGTGAACCACACAAAAGTCCTTGTCCTGCAGTGAACGTTATAATGGGGAGTCTGACAAATGAGTGAGTACAGTGTGTGGGCCGTTGTGTACCTGCTGTGAGAGAGAAAGCTGGTGTGTGTCGGGGGGTGCATCAGCCTGGGGCCCAGGCAGAGGTGTAACTCGCTCAGCACCCCATTCTTCTGGGCGGTCAGACATCTGCCTTTGCTCCCTCACCTCCAGCCCATGGCCGGCCCTTTCCCCTCCCTGCCCCTGCCAGTGAGCCTGCCCCCCTTGCTTATTCTCCTGTCACATCTTCCCCGAGATGATGGAAATTAATCTTTCAGCTCTCCGCTCAGATCTCTGTCCCTCAGGGAAAGCTTCAGGCCCCCCGGGTGAATCGGTCTCCTGTGAGTACTGTCAGCGCACTGTCCCCTCTGTTCTCTCATTGTCACCTTCATCACACTCAACAAGGAGGTGTCTGAGTTGTGCCTCGGGATCATCCTGAGATTCTGGCAGACTGTGTGCCCAGGACTGGCTCTGTGTTGCTTGCCACCGTGTGTAGGGCACAGAGTAGGTCCTTAGCGGGGATTTGTCCCAGGCATGAGTGTGGAGAGCGGGGTGCAGTGGGGGCAGGATCCCTTGAGTGTCCTAGCCCACAAAAGCTCTTCCCAGAGCAGTGTCCACGGGTGCTGTTCTGTGAGAGATTGGCCTGGTAAATGAAGTGGCCTTTGGGGGACCTTTGTGCTCTCTGCAGCTGAGTCAGGCGTGTGGTAACCCTCACGTGCACCCTGTGTGTGCCCTGACACCCACTGTCCGGGAGGGGGTCTGGTCAGGCGAGTGTGGGAAAGCTGGGTTTGCAGAGCATGAGAGCTGTCTGGGACTCCTAGCCGTGGCTTCCTGCCCAGGTCAGGCCCCAGATAGCTCCCTGGGGTTCTCAGCCCCATCCAGAGGCAAGAATTGCCAGGTTTCAGGGAACCCCATTTTCCAGAGGCTCTGGGAAGCTGTTTTCGCATAGTCCCCTTTGTTTCCAGTTACTCTGCACAAACACAGGCCCTGATTCCTGGGTACTTATTGTGTCCCCAGCATAATGCGCTGGGCCTCTGTATCCACGGGTTCTCCATCCAGGGGTTCAGACAGCTGTGGATCAAAAATATTTTATAAACTATTGCATCTGCCAATGAACATGTACAGGTTTTTTTTCTTTTGTGGGGGGCGCTGATTGAACCAAAAGCCTCTGCACTGAGCCATATCCCTAGTTCTTTTTGTTATCTTGCTAAATTGCTAAATTGTCCAGGCCGGGCTCAAACATGCCATCTTCCTGCCTCAGCTTCCCTGAATCCTGGGATTACAGGTGTGCAGCACTATACCCAGCTCTTTTATTGTTGTTTTAAGGATTATTTTTTTTCAGTTTTGAGGATTGACCCTGAGTCTTGTGCATGCTAGGCAGATGTGGTACCACTAAGCTACCACCCAGTCTTGTTGTTTCTTTGAGGCAGAGTCTCACTATTTAGCTCTAACTGGCCTCAGACTTACTGTGCAGTCCTGCCTCAGCCTCCTTGGTGCAGCACTATACTCGGCCAGACTTTTTCTTGAAATTACTTCCTAAACAATACAGCACAACAACTGTTTAGTTAACATATAATGTGTTAGTATTGCAGATCATGTAAAAATGAGGTAAAGCCTGTGGGAGGGCCGGGGTGTAGCTCCGTGGTACAGCGCTCCTCTAGCAGACTGAGGCCCCAGCTTCCATCCCTGCCACTGCAGAAAAGATAAAATGTCTAGAGAGGGTGTGTGCAGCTTCTGTGCACACGCTGCTGCACTGCACACGCTGCATGTGAGCGTGCTCGGAACTTTATCCTTGGGCCCCTCGTGGACTATTCCCCAGCAGTCCCCGGGGTCACACTTACCTGACGTGGGCCCCAGAATCCCTCCAAGGTGGATGCTATTGTCCTATCTTACATCAAGAGGAGAAGGACCCTTCAGAGGCCGCACAGGGACAGTCAGGCAAAGTGAGACCCCAGGTGGCTCCAGAGCTGTGCAGGGGACCTGCCCCTCCACAGCAGCTCTGAGCCTTTGGGGGAGCCGTTGGCACCCACACTGATGAGGCTTCCTCCTGGGTCCCCCCAGGGCCAGCAGGTGAGTTTCAGAAATGCCCACCTTGTCCCTTCTTGGAGAATGACAAGGCCCTAATCTCACAAGAGCCTTCACAGGGGCCGGGCATGGGCTCCAGCATGTCGGGGAGACGGAGACGAGCTGTGACTCCCTCTCACCTGCCTCTCCCCTCCTTGCCACTGTTCCCCATCCCCTCAGCGCCCCAGCAGCATATTTCATTGGTCTCTTTTGGGGACCAGCAGTGACAGCAGCTGTGTATCCAGTAGTCACCATGTACCTGGCACCCACCCTATGCGTAGGTACTACCATGACCCCCACCGCACATGTGGGGAAACTCAGGCACGGGCTGGTAGGTAGCCTGCACCCACTAGGTGGTGGGGCAGGATGCAGACAGGCAATGCGACGTTGCTGGCACGCCCAGCCTTCTCTCAGCACCCCTGGCCGTCAGCCCTGCCTCTCCCTCTGCAGCTGAAGCACTGCCTTTCCAGTGGGGCTGTGCGCTGTGTCCTTAGCATCCCTGCTAGAATGCCAGGCCCTTCCTTCCTCTTCTCTTGCCACCTAGCTCCCTTGGCGTCATCCCTGTGGACATCATCGGGTACCTGTCACGCCAGCCAACCAGCTCCCAGGGGTATCCAGGAAGTGTTTGCTGGATATACAGAGGAGTCCAGAACCTGTCTCCTGAGGGTCCTCAAGGGCTGGGACACATAAGAGGCCACACCAGTGGCCAGGGCGCCCTGCAGCCGAGTTCTCCTAGGCACAGCCAAGCGTGGCTGGGTTGGAGCCCCTTCTTTGAAAGGGGTTCCCTTCTGGCTTCATCTCCCAACAACCAGGGGCTGTCACCTCACCTGACAGACTGCAATCAGGACAACAATCAGGCAGCTGACTGGCTCATTTACCAACCCCTTTCCTCCTGAGGAGCCCGGGAAGGGCAACTGCTAGCATTCCTCTCCTTGTACACAGAGACACAGGGGTGTGGGCCGTCGGCCACTGCCCCACATCTGCTAACTGTGGGGTGAACCTGCACCTGAAGCCAGCCAGGGCAGCGAGGGGGACCTGTGTGGCAGGAACCTCCTGTGTCACCATGCAGACCCTGGAGGGAGTGGGGTGCACCCCCCCAAGCACACCACACCAGCTTCCTGTGTTCTGGCCGACAGCAGAGTTTTCTCAGCTCCCCAACTCCGTGAGGCCCACTGTGTGCTGTGGAAGCCAGAGCAAAACAGGCAGGCAAGAAAAAGGAGCAGGCTAGCGTGGGCCAGCAGGAAGCTCTGTCATTGTCACCCGGCAGGCAAGGCCAAGATGCCCATGGCCACGCTGAGTGGGATGCTGCTTTGAAATGGCAGCCTCTGCTCAGCACCCCTATTCCCAGTGCCCCCCCACCTGGGCTCCATGTGACAGCCCCGTGACTCAGTGGGGCTCTGGGGAATTTTCCAGCCCTTCAGAGCCCATTTCCAGGTGTAAATGGGGTGGCTCAAACTTGCTTCCTGCAAAGCCTCTGGCCTGGCTTGGGTCCCCCCAAGCCAGGCCCCAGGGGGGCAGAGGTGAGGAGGCTTCTGGGAGCTGGGCGAGGGGACTAGGGAAGGGGTATGGGTAGGGACAGAAGAGGGGCTGCTTCTGGGAAGGCCAGGCCTCCTCCCAGGGCTGGTTCTAACCGGAACATTCCTGTCCCCGTGCACATGTCCCCCGGGGACGGGCCGTGACAGGGAGGGGGCCTGGTGACTGCAGCCTCCCCGAGGAGCCCGCAGAAGCACACGCTCCAGGTCCCGAAGCTGCCTCTTCCCTGCCCCCCAAGCTGGGCCTGGTCCCTCCACTCTGGGTCTCCCCAAAGCCTTCTCCAGCCCCCTGCTGTCCATTTCCCTGGTGCAGAGGAGGGAGGATTGGTACCTCAGTCACCTCCCACCACGGGCTCCTCATGTGCCCCGAATGTCACCTGGCCACCACTGCTGTGACCCTCCCTGAGCCCTGAGTGTCCCAGGGATCTTGGGTGGCTTCGTCGGGCCTGGTGGCCTCAGGTGACTCCACAGTCCCTTTCTTGTGGCCCAGCCTGGGCATGTCACCCAGTAGTCATCCCAGTGCTCCCCTTGCAGGGTATTGTAAGGACTCATAGTGAAGTGCTCGGTGTGGGAGCAGAGAGCCCAGGAAGCCCCTGTGGCCCCGGGAGCAAGGCTGCGGGGACCCAGGAAGGGGTGGCTGCCCAGCCCTCTGAGGGCCTCCCTCGTCCAGGCCAGGCTGGGTAGAAGCCCCTTGTGCTGACCTCACCCTGGACCTCCAGGCACCCAACTCAGCATCCCTTGCAGCTGCCCCCCCTGGCTGTTGACTGGTGACGGAGGGCCCCTGAGCCTCTCTTCTCTGGCCCTCTAGGGACAGAAGACAAGCCTGTCTGTCCTGGAGAGCGTGGGCTTCCGTGTGGGCCAGGCACTGGGCGAGAGGTGAGAGCCGACACGCCCTGCCTCTCCCACCTTGGGCAGGGGCTCTGGTTGGCCCCCACTTCCTCACCTGGGCCTCTGGCCTGGCCCTCCAGGCTGCCCCAGGAGGCACTGGGCTTCAAAGAGGAGCTGGATGTCCTCAAATTCCTGTGCAAGGACCTGTGGGTGGCCGTGTTCCGCAAGCAGATGGACAGCCCGCGTGCGCCCCAGTCAGCAGGTGGGCGTGCTGGGCGGCCTAGGCCCCCGGGGGAGGGGCTGAGGTCAAAAGCACGCCAAGCCCTGGCTTCCATCTGATCCGCTAAGGGAGGACAGGCTGCAGGAGTCATCAGGCTGTTCCAGAGTGGCGGAGCATCTCCTGGCCGGCACCTGACCCAGCGTATCACTGCTCGACTCACGCTGGTGCCAGCTGCCATCGACTGCCCACACTGGCTTGGCCCCCAGCTGGATCAGGGGCCTGGGCTGCCCAGCAACCCTGGGGGGCAGGGACCGAGGGGTGGGCAGACTCGGGCCCTTCCGAAGCTCCGAGCAAGGGGCCCCTGACATGGGTGACGGGAGAGGTCCCGGCGCTCCCCCAGTGCCAGTGCACAGGCCCAGCCTCATGGCCCCTCTGCTCCCAGGGGACCTACATCCTGCAGGACGACAGCTTCCCCCTCCCCGTCCCGATGGCCTTGGGCCTGCAGTACATGGAGGAGGCACCCAAGGTACGGGGCTGGACTTCACCTTTCAACCCCCCACCCCAAGTGAGGCCTCTTCCCAGGCCTGGGGGTGTCCAAGGCCCAGGACCTGGTGTTGGTCTCCCTCGGCCACAACGGTCTGTGTCCCCTGCCCCAGTTCCTGGCCTTCACCTGCGGCCTTCTGTGCGGTGTCCTCAGTACCCTGGGCTTCCAGAGCTTGGTCGCCACCTCCATGACAGCCCTGTCTGCGTGTGAGTCCTGGCGGGGGTGTCTCCATGACCCTTGAGTGTGGTGGGGGGCCCTCTTCTGTCCCTGCTCCCATGTGAGTGCTGGAAGGTAAGCCCACGCCACAGAGCCCCACCTGACAGGTGGAACTTGAGGCCCAGAGTGCCGAAGTCAGCAGGCCAGGATGCCCGGCCCTGGGGTCCCCCGGTGCTTCTCTGCCTAAGCAGAGATCCACCTGGCATTGTGACCAGAACCAGGGGGACATAGACATCCTCCTCAGTGGTTTCTCTGATGGGGGACAAGAGCCCCAGAGAAGATGGGTGGGCACACACAACCCCGCCATGGGCCTTCCTGACCCTGGGGGGCTTCCAGGCTGCAGACCCCAATGATGAACTAAAGCCCTATTCCTGCCTGTGGGCAGCCCCAAAGCCTATAGCCGTCGATTGGGGGCTGGCCGCCTCTTCCAGTTCCCAGGCTGCTCATGGGAAGACTTGGGGCCTCTATGGGCAGGGCCTGAGCAACACATGCCACAGAAGCCCATGTGGGGCCCCTCCCCAGCTTCCTACAAGCCTGAACCCCGTGTCCGAGCACCCACACAGTCCTGGGGTGCAGCCAGCTGGGCAGGAGCATTACACCCTTTGGCCTACTCACTGAGCAGAGGGCGCACGGCAGGGGCAGATGGCTGAGCTGCTGGGTGCTTTCTGCCTTCCCCAGATCCCCACCTCGCTAAAAGCACCCCTTCCCTCCCAGGTACATTCCAGGTGGTGATCCAGAAACCCTGAGGGCCAGGGCCCAGCCTCAGAGCAGCCCTGGCCTCGCCCCCTAGGAGACACTGTCACCTTGCCTAGGACCCCAGGCTGCTCCCTTTGGGAGTGGTCTTGGGACTGGCACTGCCAGGGATCCTGGGCTCTGGGGTCACCCCTGCTCAAGAAGAGGGTATCCCAGGGAGGTGGGGGACACGAGGCCAGGTGGTCCCACAGTGGGGGCTGGGATGGAGGAGTGTGTGTCATGTCACTCCAGGTGACAGGCACTCAATAAAGATCTTATGTGTGGTTCAAAGTGGGGGGTGTCTTGTGACTGTGTCATGGGTCCCACTGGGGGACAGAGGGCCCTCTGCACACACCCACCCCACAGTCCTCCCAGCTTCTGTGCTCCTCGATCCCCAACTGGTCACCTCCTGCTCCCCCTACCCCTCCCTGCTGCCTCGGCGTCTTTGCCAGTCAGCAAGTTTGGGGCTGCCCTCTGCCCAGTGGGGTGCACAAACACAGCCTCTCCCTAAGGACCCCGGACACCCTCGTGTTCTGTCTCTGCCTGGTGCTCCACACCCTGCACTAGTGGCCTGGCAGACTCAGGTCAGACCCAGGCAATGGCCCTGCGCCTGGGCAGTGCCGGCCTCTGCGTTCACCCTGCCATCTCGTCCTGTTTGCATTTGCAGCACCTGGGGCCATCACACACCAGCACTCTTGCCTGGCTCACCTCATGCAGGTGAGTACCTGGCCTCAGAGCTGTAAACTGAGGCTGGGGGCGAGAGCCCAGGGGATGAGGAAAGACCCCCAGCTAGAAACCCCCAGTGGGTCCGGCATCCTCACCTCCTGACTCAGGCCCCACAGCTGAACTGCTCCCCTTGGCCTCCAGCAGCTGCCCACCTCGCCCTTCCATGCCAGGCCCAGGAGGTCCCATCCTGCCCTAGGTTCACCTGCAGGTGCCCCCCACTGACAAGCTGCCCCTGCGTCCCTGGTGTGGATGGGTTGGCAGCTTCAAGGGAAGGAAGGAGGGCTTCCCAGAATGGGCCTGAAGCACTGCAGGGAGGAAACAGAACTGGCTGGAGGAGGAAGGGGCTGGGCCCTTGGAGCGGGGGCAGAGTGGCTGTCTGGGCAGAGCCCCAGAGGGCGGGGACAGCAGAGGCTGGCAGCTCCCTTCATGGCCCTCAGACCACCCAGCTCGAGAGGCCTGCTCCCGTGTGCACCAGCCACCTCAGGGAGATGGCTCTGGGGAGCAGAGGGGCCCTCAAAGTGTCAGACCCTTGCCAGGGCCACCTCAGGAGGCAGGAGCCCTGACCAGCAGGCAGGGAGCCAGCCAAGTCTGGGGACACAGGTGCCACCTGTTCTCGAGTCCCTACTCTGCCTGAGTGGTACGGTACAAGTGGCCACCCAGCTCTGGCCCTCAGTTTCCTTATCTGTAAAGAGGGCATCACCGAAGCCCCTCGGGTGTGGTAAGAAAGCAGGGGATTGTGGGAGCCACTCCACATAAAAGCTGCCCCTGAGTATTTGCAAAGCATCTGAAGCAGTGTCCTGTAAGTGGGTCAGCCGGCCAGCACCTGTCAGCAGCTGCCATTGCTAAGGGCCGGGACATGGGCCCAGTGATGCCTCCTGATAACCTCGAGAGGAAGGTGCCAGCCGGGCCCACTCAGCAATGAGGAAGCCAAGGCTCAGAGCGGTGAAGTCACTGGCCCAAAGTCACACAGCTGGGCTGGGGAGGAACTGGCAACTGAAGTGGAAATATGTCCTCGCGGTCCCTGCCCACAGTCCCCGGCAGGACTCCCCAGGGCTGTGGGCAGACCCGGTGGCCATGGGGCAGGAGCACAGTGGGCACCATCCCCATCCCTCTCCTGGGGTAAGGTATGGTACCAGGGGTGCCAAGTCCTAGAGAGCAGCAGGGCAGGCGGCTGCTGGAAGGGGCGGGGACAGGTGGGCAAACCGGTCGGGCAGGCGACTGGGGCACCAGTTGGGCCTGCACGGACGGACAGACGGCCCTGTCGAGAGGCTGGCCTGGCAGCTCAGGGCCACGGGCAGGGAGCTGGGGCCGCAAGGCCACTGCCAGGTAAGTACAGGGACCCTGGGCTGGGGGCGGCAGGTGGGGCCCCACATGTGGCCTCCAACCCTCACCACCTGGCCCTTCCACCCCCGAGGCTTCACCGGCGCCGCCCGCGGAAGCATCCTTCAGGCCTGTGTCCCCCGGAACCCACACACCCCACCGCGCTGAGCGCAGGGAGCCGCTCCCCAAGTGACCACCACAGTTTCACTGCTCCCCAATTTCCCCTCCCTCCGCCCCCTCATCCTGCCCTTCCCCTGTGCCTGGCTCCAAGAAATTCATGATCCCTGTCCTGGCTGCTTCCCAACTCAACCGCATCAGCCCCCCTCAGCCCGACCTTATTCCCCTAAAGTTCCTGGGCTGCCCCCGCACCTCCCAGGTTCCGGGTCGCCATCCAAGCCCAGGCTTGCCCCCGCCCAGCCATTCCATCCTCCTGTGGTCGTGCCTCCCTCTCCCACTTGGGCCCACACCCTATGACCCGGGACCCATCCACAGCCACTCAGGGCCATCCTGGGGCAGGACAGGGGCCCCAACCTCAGCTCTCAGCCACTTGTTCACTGGCCGCTGTGCTCGCTGTGTCCCTGGCCCAGGAGCAGGCCCCCGAGGCTGTGGCCCACCATGCAGAAGCACTACAGCGCCCACTTGGTCAGGAGTGCCCGGGCCCCCACTGAACACTGCTGCCTGGATCCAGAGTTAGGGCACAAGAAAGGTGAGGGCGTGGGGGGTCATGGCGGGACAGAAGGTGAGCGGCACTGAGTGGATGTCGCCAGCACCCTCTGGAGAGGCTTTTGTTGTTTGGGGGTCATCTCATTTTTGCTCTTTGTTGGTTGATTGATTAGTGCTGAGGACTGAACCCACGCCCTTCACATTGAGCTACAGCCCCCGCCCTTTTTCTTTTTCACTTTAAGACAGGGTGTCATTACATCACTAAACTGCCCAGGCTGGGCTTGAAACTTTGACCTCCCTGCTTCAGAGGGCTGAGATAAGCCATGTGCCACCACAGCCATCTTGAACCATCTTGTTTCTTTTGTTTTGTGTTTGAGATGGAATCCAGCTCTGTTGCCCAGGCTGGCCTCAAACTCTTGAGCTCAAGTGATTCTCCTGCCTCAGCCTCCCAAGTGCTGGGACTACAGTTTGTCCCCATGGCCAACCGGTAGCCCTGACTGTAGAGCTTTGGTGTGGTGAGGTCCAGGAGGTGGGCACAAGACCTGGGATCAAAGGCAGAAGACTGCTCTGGGGATGGGTCAGCCATCCGGCCCCTTTGGGGGGATGGCTCTCCACCTGGGGGAGCCCCCATCAAGTGCCTGAATGAGGCAGGCCCAGTTATCTCCCACTAGGGCTGGTTGGGCCTCCCTGATGAGCACCTTCCTACCAGCTAGGCTGAGGAGGGGACGAGGCCACCCTCCCTCCCTGCTCCTAGCTGTCCCCATGTCACCCTGGCTGCTCTGGACCAGCCAGGTCACTTCCTGTGGATTGTTCTCAGTACCCCTCCCACAGCCTCCCAGTGGGGACCAGCCACGGACCCAGACACTCAGGGTAGCAGCAATTCAGGGTGGCACAAGCCTGGCTGAGGCCCAGGCCCAGCTCCCCTGCCCTCTTCCCACCTGTGGAGACCCGCCCTGTGTCCCCCTGACTTTTCAGGGCCACTGACGCTCCCACAAATGCTCCAGCGCAGCCTCCAGCTGGACTCTCCTGGTTTGTGGCCAGGGTCAGGGACCCAGGCCCAGTTACCCCCACTTCCTTCCTTCCAGGATGCTGTCACCACTGGCGCCAGGACCCAGCGGCCCCTCGAGCCCATGGGCCCTGTCAGCCACCCCCCCAGGCACACTGGCAGCAGCCCCACTACAGCCACCGGGGGTGTGGCAGTGGCTGGCACCAGGGCCCCAAGGCCCCTGTCCTACAGCAGCAGAAGCAGCGGCAGCCCCAGCCCCCACCTCCCAGCCCCGTGAGGCATCGGCTCAGCCTGGTCCACAGGGCCCAGAAGGGGCCCCCCGAAACTGTCACTGCCCCCACAGGACCAGCCAGCGCCCCCCAGCCACCCCCCGCACCCACCACGGCACCTGCCATGGCCAGCAGCGGCCCAGCCCTGCGCTCCCCAGCCGGCACCCTCCTGGAGCCCAGCAAGCCCACCACTGCCCGGCCCCTGCTGGCCCGGGCAGCCTGTGGCTCCTTCACCTCCTACGGCTCCGGTGCTCAGCCAGGCCTTCTCAGGGGCTCTGCCCGGCTCCTGCCTGCCTTCTGCCTGGGCTTCTCACTCCCTGGCTAGCACCTCTGGCCTGCCCTGGCATCCCTCACTCTGGTTCCCGCCCCTGGGTCCTAGGTGCTGCCTCTGCCTCCCCTGTCCCCTGTCGGGGTCCATGGCTTGCAGGCCAGGCCTGTGCTGGGCAGCAAGGTCCTCCTTCCTGTTCCTCTCTACCTCCTGGGGCCCTGGCTCTGCTTTCTCTTCCCAGTCCCCCCTGCCCTGGCTGGGCAGGGGTTGGTGAGGACACGGGGCAGCCTGGTGTGGGGGAGACAGGCCCTGTGTGGAGCCGCCATAAGAGGTAGGGAGGGGCTGGGGCAGGGAGAGGGTGTCCAGTGAGGAGGGCACCACTGTCACGTGCCAGGTGGCTGGTGACGAGGTCCTGACCGCCATGGTGTCTGCCAGGCCCTGTGCAGGATGCAGCAGGGGACAGAGGACAGATCTGTCATGTTCTGTGGGATGAGGGACAGCAGCAGGAAACAAGATGAACAAGGAAAGTTTAAGAGTGTGTCACTGGGTGAAATAAAGCAGGGAGAGGGAGAGGGTGTAGGGCTTGGGGGTGAAATAGGGCCATGGGGCCTCTCGATGGTGACATCTGAACATACGCTGTTCATCAGGGCCAGTGAGGCAAAAGCCCTCGCCAGCTTGTTCCAGGGCCACCAGGAGGCTTTGGAGGATGGGAGCTGTGTCAGGAGCCACTGGAGTGTGGACCACAGCAGGGAGGGTGCGAGGTGCTGGTGGCCTGACCAGGGCGGTGACAGGAGACACAGGGACACGCAGCTATTTCGAGTTCTGGGTTGGGCACATCCTTGTCACCAGAGACTTGGGGCCAGGATGCCCATTTCACACACAGGAAAATAGAGGTTGCGTGAGGTGATGTCACCCATCGATCAGGTAGTGCCGTGTCTTGGTCCTGCCTGGCCACCATCACCTTGGCTGACCTTGTATTGAGTCTGCCTCTTTGTACTGAGCTCTGCCGCCAGCTTGGGCCTGAGTCCTGTGGTCCCCCATGCTTCTCCCAAAGTAGGCGTGTTATGCCACCACATACCGAGAGGCTGGCCTGGCTACCATGACTGAATACTACACTTTGGTACCCAAATTCCAGGTCTGGGAAGTTAGGCACAGGGCGCAGGGAGCCCTCTGCATAGTGGACACCAGTGCTTGTTTGTGGAGCCCAACAGGGCCGGCAGTCTGTGCCCTCAATGGCAATGGCATTGGCCGTGACCAAGGGCCTGGCCAGGCACTTTGGCATCCATGCCACCTGGTGTCTTCGGAGGAAAAGACTGAGCCTCTTAGAGGTGTCCCTTCCTGGGTCCCGCTGAGGAAGGGGCTGAGCCAGGGCTGGACTCCCAATGGACTCCAACCTGGGCGAGGGTGGAATTAGTGACTTTCGGGGATGAGGTCCTGGTTGGGGAGAGAGGTCAGGGACAGGAAGTGGAGAGGAGCTTGTGGTCCTGGGGCACAACCACCCCAGTACCGGGTATGCAGAGTGGGTGGGAGCCAGTCCAAATAGGGAACTTTTGAGGACGGAAAGCAGTGTCACCAGTATAGGCCCTTGTGTCCCAAGAAAGACCCACAAGCTTTTCTCTCAAAGGAGCCACAGGCTGGTGGCTGGGCCTGGTGATCTGGGCCGGGCCAGACAGATTATCACAGGCCCTGGAGGGTCCCAGATCAGAGCCTCTGAACGGGTACAGGTGGCCCTGGAGGTGGAGACTCTGGTGGCCACGGAGACCTCCCTCACTGGCTTTGACCTGAGTCACCTCTGGGAGGATGCTGATGCAGGGAGGGGCTGAAGGCGGGGCTCAGAGGGCACTGGGAAGAGGGAGGGTGGTGCCTGGCCAGCCTCACTGACTCAGTTTCCCCACCCCAACCCCAGATATCCTGACAGAGGATGATGTCTACTGCAGCTGCCTGGCCAAGACTCTTTGCCATGTGCCCGTTCCTGTGACCGTGGGTTTCTATGCCCCCTTCGGCTGCCGACTGCACATGATGCTGGACAAGATCACCAGTGAGGATCTGTGGGGGCTGGGGGTGGGTGGGGGATAAGAAACAGAGTTTCTGCCCTGCTCAACTCCAGAGTGCCCCACGTCTGTGCTCCACTGAGGCCAGCCTACCCCAACCAGGCACCAATAACGAAGCAGCGACCAGGTCCTCCCATCACACGGCCTCTGCCCTGTCCCTGCCCGCCCTCCTCCCTGGCTTGCTGGCCATGTCCAAGTCTCACCCCTCCCTGTCCCCTCCTTCACCATCAAATCCACTCCAAGGACTCCTAAAATTGAGACTGGTCCTCCCCTGCTCAGCAGACTTCCATGATCCCCAGCACCCTGGGGAGGAAGCCCAGTTCCTCACTGGTGCTTCGGGCTCCTGCCTGGTGCTCCCAGGACACCCTGCAGACACAGTCACTGCCAACAAGGCCAGCACCCATGCAGGGACATGAGTAGTGGCCAGAGGGGCTGGTGACTCCTGTGTGCCTGAGCTAGCTATTGGAGGGCATCTCCTCAGTGGGCCCCTGCTCTGCCCCTGTGCAGTCGGGGCGGGGGGGGGGGGGCAGAAGAACAGGACATGGTAAAAGGGTGCTGTGGAGTTCCTGCCCCTGGCTTGTGGTTCTTCAGACATTCCCCAGCACCTCCTCAATGCCCGGGGCGGGGGGCACGGGGCGGCCCGCCCAAGGGACACAAGTGACCCAGATAAACAGGGCACTGTCCAGCAGGGAAGGAAGGCTTGTCCTCAGAGCCAGAGTGGGAAGGGCTGAGGGCCCCTGACCAAGCCTGAGATCAAGGAGGGCTCCTGGGGGAGGCAGCACGCGAGGTCTGTGCCCCAGGAGCAGTGAACTAGGAAAATGAGACCAGGGCTGTGACCCGGCGTCTCTCATTCACTCATTCCTTAGGCTCCCTTGGGCCCCCTTCTTAGAACCTTCTCAGGCCCCCAGGCCCCCGCCGGGAGGGCCCACCCCTGGCCCTGTCCTGGCTCTTGTTCCCCTTGCCTCCTCCCATCCTCTCTCCCTCTAGGGAGCTGCTTCTGCCTTGACTCCCAGTCTGGCCCTCACAGGGCTTCTAGTTTGGCCTCTACTCCTCCGCTTTCTGCATTTGCTCCCTGCTCAGTAGGGCTGTCCGAAGCTCACCTGCGGCCCATTACACCCCCCAGGTCTGTGTTCCAAGTCCCGATTCTCTCCAGGAGAGTCCACTTCCAGGCATCCCTTTCTGACCACGCCCACTTCCGGCCATGCCCCCACCCTTCGGCCACTCACATGGCCTCCCGCGCTGCTCTCTCCCTGCAGTGCTGATGCAGCAAGAGGCGACGCAGCGCGAGGTGGAGGAGCTCCAGAGCGTACAGTGGCGGCCACGGCCAGTGCGCGGCTGGGGCTTTCCGCAGCTGCTGTGGTACCTGGTGTTCCTGCAGCCCATCATCACCGAGGTGCACCTGCGGCGCAAGAACGTGCAGTTCCTCTTCATCCGCTTCAGCGCCTGGCAGTACGCGGGCACGGACAAGCTGTGGGCCGGGCTGGTGACCACGCTGTGCGAGGGCATCCGCCACCACTACGGCGCGCTGCCCTTCAGCGTGTACTCAGTGCTGGGCAACAAGCCGGCCACGACGCCGGGCTTCTGCCAGACCGAGTGGCACTGCCGGGTCCGCGTGTGCCTGGCGCTGCTGGCGCTGCTGGCGGCGCTGGCGCTGGGCGTGGGTCTGCTCTACCTGTCCCTTGGCGGCCTCGGCCACGGGGGCGCCGGCGGCAGCCTGCTGAAGGTGTTTGGCGGCGCGGCCACCACACTGTCGGGCTCGGGGCTGCTCATGGCCGTGTACTCGGTGGGCAAGCACCTGTTCGTGAGCCAGCGCAAGAAGATCGAGCGGCTGGTGTCGCGCGAGAAGTTCGGCAGCCAGCTGGGCTTCATGTGCGAAGTGAAGAAGGAGGTGGAGCTGCTCACCGACTTCCTGTGCTTCCTGGAGATCTACCAGCGGCGCCGGCTGCGAGTGGTGCTCGAGGTCACGGGGTTGGACACGTGCTACCCGGAGCGCGTGGTGGGCGTGCTCAATGCCATCAACACGCTACTGTCCGACAGCCACGCGCCCTTCATCTTCATCCTGGTCGTGGATCCCAGCATCCTGGCCGCGTGCCTCGAGAGCGCCGGCAACATGAAGGGCACGGCCGACAACGGCTACCTCTTCCTCAACCGCACCGTCACGCTGCCCTTCTCCGTGCCCATCATGGGCCGCCGCACCAAGCTGCGGTTCCTGCACGACGCCGTGCAGAGCCGCGACGACCTGCTCTTCCTCGAGATCGCGCGCAAGCTGCAGCCGGCCGAGGGCCAGGCCGGCGAGGGCGCGCAGCTGCTGGCCGTGGAGACGCAGGGGGAGACGGAGCGCGCTCAGGGCCGCATCGACGCGGAGGCTGCGCGCCGCATCCGAGAGGCGCTCTTCTGCCTGCACGACGAGCACGACTGCCTGTACGAGTACGTGCCTGACAACGTGGTGTCCATGCGGCGCATAGTCAACACGGTGCCAATCACCGTGCGCCTGCTACAGCAGCAGCAGCAGACCAACTTCGTGGGCCCCACGCCGCGCCAGGCCGTGGCGTGGGTCGTGCTCGCCAACCAGTGGCCCTGCCGCCTCAGCTGGGTGCTGCAGTGCCTGGAGGACCGGCAGCAGGCGGGGGGCGCGCCCGAGGCCCGAGTGCGCCTCTGGGACGTGTTCTGCGATAACAGCCGTGAGCTGCACAGCATGACCAAGGCACTGCGGAACGTGCTGGACCTGGACGGTGACCCCGAGCTCTTTGAACGCTTCCTGGGCTCCGACTTCCCCTTCACCGTGGCCGAGGCGCAGCGCTTGCTGCGCTGCACGGTTAACCTGGACCACTCCATCCGGCGCCGCATGGGCCTCATCCGGGCAGTCAGTGCGCTCAAGCCGCCCAGCCAGCCCACGTCCCCTGCCCGAGATGTGCCTTCTGCTGCCCACGGAGCCACCAACACTGCAGGGGCATCCCCGAGAGGCACTGGGGCAGGGCACACCAGTGAAACCCACCACCCCCTGGACAAGGCCCACGGGGGCAAGCCGAGGCCGAAAGCCTGAGCCCCCTCACGCCAGGGGGGCCCAACCAGGTGGGCCCCAAATAGATGAACCCAGGGCAGCAGGAGACAGCAAGCCCTCCCTTCACTGTCCCCACGAGAGTGTAGGGGCCACAGCCTCCAGGGCACTGGCGCCAAGTGCCAGTGCCTGCCAGCGGTACAGTGAGGAACTCAGGGCACGAGTGCAATGAATGATGTGCAGGGCTGGGGACTTAGCTCAGTGGTTCTAGCACCTGCCTCGCAAGCACTAGGTCCCAAGTTCGATCCCCAGCACCAAGAAACAAAAAAATAAATGATGTGCAAAGCCTTCCAGTGGGTGTTTCCATCCTGGCTCCCTGGCCCAGTGAAGACTGGGGACCAGGCCTGCCCTGCCCTGCCCACTTCCTCCACAGGGAGCTAGGCCTCCGAGCTGGGTGCTAGCAGCCAAGGCTGGCATCCAGGTGGCAGGAAGGCCGTGGGGCGGTGGGAGGGCGGGTGTACCGGGCTGACTCAGGTGGCGAGCACCCGGCCCCAGGGAAGCCGGCCCCACCCGTGCCCTAGCCTGCCCTCCGTGGCATCGCCAGGGCACTGCACCACTCTCAGGCAGCTGTCCAGGAGTGGCCTCTGGGTCACAGCAGTCTGGTCACTGACACCGGAGTCTCTGGTTGGACCCTTCATGAGCACGAGCGGTGGGGACACTCGGGGAACATAGAGCGAGCAGGCAACAGGGCCCAAGTTACGGCTGGGCTGGGCGCTACCAGCTTGCTCACTCCTGCCGCTTCCAGCAGGGGGACAGGCCTTGCTCAGGCAGTTCCTGAGCCCTCATCCAGCAAATATTCAGCCCCACACACAGGCCCATGGGGTTCTGGACCCAGTGTGTGTTAAGCAGCAGCAGGGACCAGAAGCCAAGGGCGTGACTTATAGGCCAATCCCCAGGAGACCAAAGGGCTCTGCAGGCCCCTCCCTCAGGCCAGCCAGGGCCCTGGATGGGGGCACTGGCCACATGTGCCGTCCATCCCTGCCCTGCTCAGATGACAGTGGTTGGTGTGTGGGTGACCCAGGTCAGGGCCCCACTGACTTTTAGGGACAGGCGCCATCTCAGCCTTGAGTGGCCAAGCTGCTGGGGAAAGGGCTCCAACAGGGGAGAGGCTGCCCAGGGACAAAGCCCCAAGGACATGGCACTTGTGACGACGTCAGTTGGTGTAGCTGTGGACATGCCGCGTGGCCATCCCCTTTTGCCTTACTCAGGCCAGTGTGAGGTGGGCTCCTTTCTCATGGCCAAGTCCAGGCTGCAGTAAGCAGGCCCAGAGGGAGCAGGACCCAGGCTGCCAGATGCCCGGGGGCTGTAGCCGGTGTTAGGTGGTCCCCAGTGGTGGCCAGTCTGTTGCCCATTTTATCATAAGGCTCTGGCCAAGGATCTGCCAAAGCCAGAGTTCAGGGAACTTTGTAAACAAAACCAAAACAGGATCAAGGGCTCCTGTGGCTGGAATGGCCCTGCCACCTGGACCCATGTTCCCCCACTGGGTGCAGAGCTTTTGTGGGGATCTTACAAAGGTGAAGCCAAGGGGCTGTCACCAACAAACAGGTGCTGCAAGTGACCGCCCCTTTCCCACAGCAGCGAGGACAGCATGAGGGCTGCGCATGCCAGGTGTAGGGTACATGTGTGAGCGGCTCATCTGTGTAGTCTGTTAAGTGGCTCGTGTTGTGTCGTAGTGCTGCATGTCTGTTTTAAGTTCTTTCGTCTATACTGCCTGCGTGCTGTGGGTTTGGCTTCTTCCCTCTTCTGTCCCCCAAAGGGGACAGGGATGTTTGTCACCCTAGAAGGCGTCAGCAAACAAGCACTTGGGGAAGCTGGGTCCAAGTCACATGACGCCTGCCACTATGCACCCCACACCTGTGACGGTAAAGGCTGCCTGTCGGGGCGGTGGGGGTACAGTGTGCGGCCAAGTAACTGCCAAGACCGCAAACTGGGTGAGGTGTGGGTGGCCGAAGGTAAAGGGAAGGAGACACTGGGGCTGTGATGACAAGGTTTCCTGGAGGCAAGGCTCACAGCAGCGGGCATTTACTGGCTCCCAGGTGTGGTGGCTCCAAGTGTCCCTCACGACTGAGACCCCTTCCTGGCTTCTGGTGTGTAGCTGGTGACCCTGGGGCTATTGTGGCTTGTAATTGCATCACTCCAATGCTGTCCGCCTGCCTTCTCCTGATGGCTACTGGTATCCAAATTCTTCCCTTTGAATGTATGTATGTGAATGACAGAATCTCTTGACATTGCATAAGGAGGTCTTAAACTCCTGGGCTCAAGCAATCCTCCTGCCTCAGCCTCCTCACCTGGCTATAATCACCTCCCCACCAAACCTGGTGTTGGGGATGGAACCCAGAGCTTGTGCATGCTAGGGAAGTGCTCTACCGATGAGCTGCACCCCCAGCCACAAGTCCCCTTTTATAAGCACACCAGTAGTTTGGTTTAGGGCCCACCATCCTGAGCTCCTGAGTCCTGAAGTGACTTAGTAAAGACTATTTAGTAAGGTCATGCCCTTACTTGGCATGAGGGTTAGGACTTGAGCATTTTTTGGTGGGGGACACAATCCAATCTGTAACTATTGGGAAGGACTGGTTGGTTACCCCAAGCTACATATAGTGCAAGGAAGGACAGGGCTGAGGCTAGGAAGAGGACCCCAGCCCCTCATATACACCACAGGGGTAGAGCAGCCACGCCTGCCAGGCCTGGAGGCACAGGGTTAGTCACAGGCACCAGTTAAACTCCCAGCAGGCTGCTAAGACAGCTCCTGGTCTCACAGAGGAGCTGGAAGCAGGGCGGCATGGAGGCCCCAACCCCCACCTCTGCCCAGTTTTGCCTCTTTGGGGCCCCCTGGCACTGACCTGCGGGTGCTCTGAAGGCAGGTGCTGCTGGGCCCACCCACCTCACCCCACGGGGTTCCCAGGGCCAGACAAAGCAGAGAGGGCCAAGTGGTGAACCCAGCCCCTTTATTAGAAAAGGTGTGAACAGGGCCGCACCGACAGTCACCCCCGCCCGCCCGCCCGAGGTTGTAGTGCCTTCCAGGGCACAGCCGCAATGGCCTGAGCAGCGGGGTCCCCAGACGCCCGCTGCTGCCCCAGCTCCCTGATAGATTTATTGCACTTAAGAGAAAGAAAGCTCTGCCCCTTTGCACCCAGCCCCACCCGCCCGGCCCACACCCCACCTGGGGCATCCTGGGAACTTCCACCACCCATGCCTCCTGCTTGGTCCCCGGTGGGGTCAAGGGGGCCACCGGCCACCTTGGACTCCTGCCCTTGACACAGCAGGCTGGGCTGAGTAGGCTCTCCAGGACCAGAGCGGCCCTGAGGCCGCCTCCCCCTCCTCCCCCGTCCACCCCAGCCCAAGTCCTCCAGTGGCAGACACATAAATAGATGCGCCACTGCCTCGAGGCCGCAGTGTTCCTGGGGCAGGGTCCTGGGGTGCTCCTGGCCTTGGCATCCTGGGCCTCAGGAGGGCTGGGGTGAGGGCGAGCAGATTCTCATGGCTCTGGCCTCAGCTTCTCATGGCTCTGGCCTCAGCTCATCCAAGACTGACCAGAAAAAAGGAACTGGGTGGGGGCCGGGGGGGTGGGGGCAGAGAGTGGGGGGAGTGTCAGGGCAGGGGCTTCCTGCCATCCCCACCCCCGAGGCCCGGCCACCTACAGTGTCACAGTGTCTCCTGTGTGGCCTCCTGACTGGCCTCCAGAAGCAGCTCCTCCAGCGCCTTCTCATCCTGCGGGCAGCGCAGCTCTGCGGGGCAGCCTCGGTCAGGTGGGGAGCAGAGGGACCCGAGGCCACGCACCTCCCACGCCCTACCCCAGGACCTAGGTGACGCAGAGTGGGAACCGAGGACCAGAGCCCATCTGCCCCTGCCCCTGCCCCTTCCTGGGGTGGTTTCCAGGGAACCGGCCCAGCGTGTGGGGCTCACAGCAGGTGGCCCGGCCACCCTGCCCAGCCTCTCACCGTGCTCCAGGCCGCAGCTGCCTCCCTTGGCCTCAGGCCCCGGGGGTGGCTCTGGGGGAAGCGCGAGGGCAAACTCAGGCTTCAGGCCATTGGGCAATGGTGGCCCTGACTGAAGTGTCTCCGGCTCAGATGACCCTGGATCCTGGGTGCCAATGGGCTTGGCTGGCGGGAAGACAGGGCTGGGGGACAGGGCTGGGGAGGGAGGGGAGGCAAGGCTGGGGGGCTCTGCCCTCTCGGGTGGACTCTCCACCCGGGTCACCACAAACACCTTGTGACCCCGGCCCGGGCTGGACACAGAAATCCGCTGCTCGGTGGGGGAGGAGGGGCTGCCTGGGGGGCTCCTGTCCCCAGGGCCCAGAGAGTCCGTGGGGGCCACCAGGGCAGGGCAGGGGGCCAAGGGGCTCTGCCCACTGCCCGCCTCTTTCCTCTGCTCGTCCTTCTCTTCCTCCTCCTCCCCGTCCGAGACTGAGTCTGAGTCTGAATCTGGGCTGGGCCCTGAACTGGGGGCCCCGTTCTGCACCGAGGTAGCGGGCACATCCCCGGACTCCCCGAGGGGCTGCGGCCCGGTGACCGTGATCTCGGGCATGGAGGCTGACAGCTGCAGCTGCTGCTCCTTCTCCTCCCGCTCCCTCGCCAGCACGAAGTTGCGCTTGCAGCCGTTCTGGATCTCGGCCAGCAGCGCCTTCTGAGTCTCAATGAAGCTCTTCACCTGTGTGCGGCAGTACCTGGCTAGGGCCCAGTGGTCCAGCCCGACCTGCGGCCACCCCACCTGCCAGGCCCCCAGCCCTCAAGCCGAAGGGGGTGCCCACTCGCTCACCGCCTCCTTCTTGGGCTCTCGGTCAAGGTCCAGGCGCAGCAGGGAGTGGTTCACCTTGAGGGCCAAGGACAGTGCCATAAGCCCGCCCGTCTTGATCTCGTTCTCCCGCAGGTCCAGTCTCAGGAGGCGGGGGCTCTCGGCGATGAACTCCGCCACCGCCACCGCGCCTGGGAGGGGGACCGCAGGGGCTGGCCAGGAGCCCCACGCCACACAGCTGGCCGCCCCCCAGCCAAGCCCGGGCCGTGCCCTACCCTCGCAGGTGAGCTTGGTGGAGGCCAGGCCCAGGCGCAGCACGCTGCGGTTGCCAATGAGCCCGTTCTTGAGGTTCCGCACGCCCTCGTTCCCGATGGGGTTGTGGCCCAGGTTCAGCGTCTCCAGGCTCTGTGTGTGCGGCTGCAGGGTAAGGAGGAGACCCCAGAGGACCCCAGGCCCAGGAGGACAAATCAGGAAGGAAGCCAGAAGAACCAAACCCAGTCCTCTTCCCCCCACAGAGGGGCAGCATCTAAGCACTGGCACAAACCTGGCATGTTGGTGCACGCCTGTAATCCTAGCACTTGGGAGGCTGAGGCAGAAGGATTCCCAAGAGTTCAAGGCCAGCCTCAACTATACAGTGAGGCCCTTTCGCTGGCCCCACAGCATCTCCCCAAAAGCTCGTCCTATCCCTGTCCACTCCCAAATCTCCAAGTGTCCCTGCTGAGGCTGGTCTATGGGTCTCAGCACAGCCTCTGAATGGGGCAGCTCTGGCCTCAGGTGTTGGGTCCCCTGGGGTTCACCCTAGAGTCCTTGCACCTGATGGGCTTGCTTTACATCAAGTCAAGTGTGACACTTGCTATAATCCCAGCACTAGGGAGGCTGAGGAAGGAGGATCCCAATTATATGGCCAGCCTGGGCTACATAGTGAGCTCAAGGCCATTTATATAATGAGACCCTAACTCAAAAAAGCCAAATAAATCCATATTTTGTTACAAAAATAAAAATTTACTAAAGGCTTTCAAAAATAGTAACTCTTGGGCCGGGGATTTAGCTCAGTGGCACCCTGCCTGCCTCACAGCGCAAGGTCCTGAGTTCGATCCCCAATACCAAAAAAACCAAAAAAATTAGTAATTCTTTTAGCACAACAATATTCTATCACATTAGATAAAAAAGGAATTGAAGAAGCCAGGGTGCAGAGGCTGAGTGAAAACAGCAGGCCCAAGAGTTTCACACCCCTAGAGCAGGGCGGACCGACTCACCAGTGTCAGGCCCAGGAAGGCCATGCCCGTGTGTGTGAGCTGGTTGTTCCACAGCACCAGGGTCACCAGCCCCTTCCTCTGCTCCTTGAGGCCCTCGCAGATGTAGGCCAGACCTAGGGGAGGCCTTCGGTCAGTCAGTCTGTGGCCAGCAGGCTGCAGGGTGCGTCCTCACAGTGCTCTGCCCCAGCTCTGCCCTCAGCTACTCCCCAGCAGGTGTCAGAGGAGACGCCTGGCTGCCTGGCCTCAGGAGCCAGCTCTGTACACACTGCACACACTGGGAACTCAACTCCTGGCTCCTGCCTCTGCCTCAGACCCACTCCAAGGCCTGAGCCAGACCTGCTGGGGCACAAGGGGGTGCCCAGTTGTGGGGTCCAGGCCTGCCACACTGAAGGGGACAATGGCCTCACAGTGCCACTTTGATTCCTCCTCCCTTTCTCCACTAAAGGCCAGGGGACTCTGCCCAAAGGTGGAGCGGCTGTCCTAGCCTCCTCCTGCATGGGAGATGTGAGCTCCTCTCCCTTCCTCTCTCCTCCCTCATCCCTTGGCTCACTGAAGCTTCCCCCCACAGACAGCAAACTCCTAAGTTCATTCCCACCCCAGGGCCTTTGCACTTGATGTTCCTGCTGCCTTTTCCAGGCTTTAAGAAGGGCTGACTCTGCTCAGGTCACTCCCCAGAAGTCCCTCCCAGCACCATCCCCACAGCCTCCAGCTGACCCCGCACCCTAACAATATCCTCTCCTTCGGGTACTTTTTTTTTTTTTTTTTTGGGTACTGGGGATCGAATTCGGGTCCTTGGGCTTTCGCAGCAGGCAGTGAAACCACTGAGCTAAATCCCCGGCCCTATCCTTCAAGTACTTTTTAGATGTCAATCACCTTAACTATTCGTTCAATATCACTGGCCCCCCAGGTGTCAGCTGAGAAGTCCTCTCCTGCGGGACCCCACCCTGGGCCAGGCCCCCTTTGGACTCCTCAGCCCAGCCCTGCCTGCTCTGAGAGCCACTGTCTAGGGCAGCCCTGTTTTCCCCATGGGCCGTGAGCCCCAGGAGGGCAGTGCCAGAATGGTCTTGGCCACGTGTCCCCAGCCCCACAAGCCTAGGGCAGGTGATGCCAGTCTCACGCACCAGAGTCCAGCACATGGTTGTTGCGCAGGTCCAGGATCTGCAGGGAGCAGTTGAACTTGAGCAGGTTGCCCAGCTGGGCTGAGTCCTGCAGGCCATTGAGCTTGTTGTCGGCCAGGTATAGCTCCCGCAGGTTCATGTTCATCTTCAGGGCTGTGGCTGCAGGAGCAACAGGGGTGGGAGTGAGTGCAGGCCACCTCCCAGATACCCCACACACAGCAGCTTGCACCTCCAGGCCTGGGCTCACCCAGCAGCATGAGCGGCCGCCCCGACAGGCTGGCGTTCTCCAAGTGCAGCACGGCCAGGCTGCTGCGGATGCGCAGGGCACGGGCCACGAAGGGTGCCGAGTGGTCCAGCAGTGGCGTGTTGCGGGCGTCCAGGTACTGCAGGCAGCTGGTCTGTGGGGCAGGCCGGGGTGGGTCAGCCTGGCACCCTCCCTAGCCAGGCTCTGCTGTGAGCATCACCATGCTGGGAGAGGCCAGGCCACAGCTGGATCCCCTATGGCTCCGTTCCCATCCCTACCTGAGCCTGGCCCACAGCCACCTCTCAGGGAAGACACCAGGGAGGAGGGAAGGGGGACAGAACCAAGGCTGGGCACCCTGGGAGATGACGGTCATGCCCACCTTCCGCATCATGTGGGCGGCGGCCTGCCAGCCCCGGGTGCCAATGTGCTTGTTGAAGGAGATGTTGAGGTGGGTGGCCGACTCATAGTACTCGATCATGTCGAACAGGGCTGAGGCACCCTGAGGGAAGATGTGGGGCGCAGCCTCAGGTTGGGGTGGCCCCAGGGAAGCACGTGGGGTTTCAGGAAGGCAATCTCAAAGGGGAGGACAGACAGTGAGCGCCCAGCACAGGCAGGAGGGCCAAGCAGTGGCAGCCTGCTCCTGGATCCAGCTTTGCCTAAAACAGGTATGGCCTGCAACTCTCCTACAAGAGCCCCTTTTCTGACAAAGCCAGTCTGCTTCTGTCACTGAGTCCCGACTGAAGTGCCATGTGACCAGCACAGGCCCTGCCTCAGTTTGCCAGCACCTCTCCTGGAGGCTTCAGGATCTTTCCCACATTCCCATGTACCCTGTGTTCCTGAGACTTCTCAGTCTGGGGAGGTGACGATACCTGCCCCTAACTGGGAGCTTCCCAAATGTTTTTCACTCTGATTCCCATGGTGGGCTTCACATAAGGCCCCTGGTAGCCACGAGCCTCCCTGTGCCCACATCACCTTGCCTCCCCTGTGGGCCCCCAAACACACCCACCCATTCTGGCCACATCCATGTCTCTCTCTCGTCTTTTGTTTTGTTGAGACAGGGGCTCACTATGTAGTTCAGACTGGCTTTGAACTATGTAAACCCTTGCAACGATCCTCCTGCCTCCGTTTCCCGAGTGCCGGGATTACAGGCAGAAGCCACCATGCATAGCTCCCTCTTGTCCTTTAAAGGCCCTGCACTTGCCCCACCTCCAGCCTTTGTCTGGGTCCCTTCTTCCTGCAGGGTCCCCTGCCCACCCAAACCTCAGAGGGGCCCAGAAGCTGGGGGGCCATGGGTCTGGGTGGCAGCAGGAGTGCTCACATCTTCGTCCAGGTTTGTCTGCTCCAGGTCCACGACCTTGAACTGCAGCCTCTTGAAGACCTCTTCCAGCGCCTCGCAGGTCTTGTAGTCCAGCTTCTCCCCTGGGAGGAGGTGGTGTTCGTGTAGGTCTGTGCCTGCTTGTGGGGGGCTCTGGCCCAGGAGGATGGAAGGCCCTGCCCCCCACAGCCCTCTAACCTGCCACCCAGGCTCCAGCCCTGCTCACCACCCAGGGGCGCCCAGGTGTCACCGACACCCACCTTTCAGGTCCAGGCAGTCAATGCGGTGCTCAAGGTCTGTGAACTCCTGTGGAAGCAGAGTCAGGGTGGGTGGTGGACGAGGCAGGAAGACCTGAAGAACCTGGGCCACCTGCAGCCCCAGGTGTGTCCAGCCCCCCACTCCCCCAGCTGGGACCCAGTGCATCGGGACTTGGGGAGCCACAGGGTCCACAGAGGACTCTGCCCTGCCCCAGGCAGAGAAGTGGGGGAGTAGGCAGGAAGAGTGACAGAGTCAGCCCAGGGATCTCACGGAGAGGTGGCCTTGGGCCAGGCACACAGTGAGTGGACAGTGAAGGGAGGGACGACCGGCTCAGACACACACCCAGGCCCTGTTCTCTGTGTGTCACATGTCACCCCAGGGATGAGGGGCCAGGGCCAGCCTTGCCAGCAGCACTTAGCCTGGGCTGAGTCCGCCTCACCTGCAGCCACCACACCAGCAGCCCCTGTTCCTGGGCGTGGCAGTGTGGTGCCCCCTGGGGCCCCCAGGAACCTCCCCTGACCCAGGTGCAGACTGACAGCGCATGGCAGGGACCTTGGAAGCCCTCATGAGAGGGAAGGTGCCCTCGGGAGACCCCATTTATATAAACACAGATGCCGAACCTGCGGGGACCCGGGCAAGGAATGATGGTTTTGCCCTTTATGTCGCTATTTTAATTTTCTAAGAATCAAGGGCTATATTATTACTTTCATAATTCACAAGTTTTGAAGGATACAATTTATAGTTCAGACTTATGAGGATCGTAAACCTGCCTCTTCCCTGGGGAACAGAATTTCTCTAGGGACTGACAGACAGGGGACTCTCCCCCTGGCTCTAGTTCCTATAAGGAGCCTGACTTCCCCGGGCACCCCTGGCCCACTGTACCTGCAGCTGCCGGAGCAGCTTAGGGATCTGCCTGCAGTTGAGCTTCTGGCAGGCCTGCCGGTAGGCGCTGATCACCTCCTCCACCGTCACGTTCTGGGCTACAGGCAGAGGAGCAGGCCGGTCACTCCACGGCCACCCCAGGACCCCCACGCCTCACTCAGCAACACACTGACCAGTCCAGTCCTCCCTTCGAGCCCCCTGGGGCCACTGCAGGGCCCCCAGAAGTTACCCTGGGTGCCCCGAAACCACCTCAGCACCCCCCACAATCACAGTCACCACACAGCTAACACATAGGGGCCTTTGCTTACTAGCTCCCGCTCTACCACACGGCGCCCCAAGCAGGGCTAGGCTGGGGCTGTCTCTGTCACTACCGTGTCCCCAACACTGTTGTTGTTGTTGCTGAGACAGGATCTCCCTACACAGCCCGGGCTGGCCTCAACCTTTCAACCTCTTGCCTCAGCCTTCCAAGCGCTTGGATCACAGGTGTGTGCCTGGACATCCAGCTTCCACATCCCCAGCGCTTCCCAACACAGGGCCAGGCTTCCAGCAGGTCTTTGGCACTTTGGCACCATGAGCCAACTGAGCTCAGAGAGAGGAGAAACTGGCCCAAGGACACACAGCTGGTCCAAAGCGGAGTCAGACCTGAACTCCGCTTCCACTGTGCAATGGCATGAGCCTCTCCAACTCCCTGCTCCTGAAACAACCTCTGCAGCTAAACGTTCCCCAAGGTACGTGGGGACAGGCCTGCTCTGGGGTGCAGAAGCATGGCGAGGCCCCAGGGAGATGGGCAGAGCCTGGCAGAAGGCACAAAAGGAGGAAACCCAAACCCAAGGGCTGCACAGCCCCTGTCCCCGAGAGACAGGTCAGGGTGGACTTTTGGGACATTTCATGGCCAGCTTCTCAAGTTGAGCACAGTAATTCTGAGTTCCAATCTCTTTATACTGCTGAAGAGTAATGGCACAAGATACCACATTTTGTTTATCCATTCACTCCTTTCAGTTTTTGGATACTGGAGTTTAGATTCACCCCAGGTGACCAGGAAAGAAGAAAGAAAAGGCTATGGGCAGGGCAGGGAGAGGGTCGGGCCTGGGTGCCAGACTTTTGGGGTGGCACAGTGGATGGCACAGAGGTCGCCCTCGGCCACCCCCACCCCGCTGCCATCCTGCCATCTCCGCTAGCCACCCCCTAGGCCGGGCAAGCACTACTGCTCCACTTTCATGGAGGAAACCAGGTCCAAGAAAGACACATTGGTCCCCTGCGGCCAGGCTGCTGGACTAGGCCAGAGGCCAACATCTGGCCTAGAACTCTCACTACTGCACCAGGGTCGGGATGGGCGCTTAGCTGCTGTGTAGAGGTTAAAGATGCCAGCATGGGGGCTGGGGAGGTCGGCAGGGCCCTGGCTTCCTTCCCCTGACACTGAAGGGAGACGCTCTGACAAGGGCCCACGTGCTTGTGGCCCAGGGTTCTGGAGGGGACAGACGCTGCCCCTGCCTGGGAAGGCAGCCCTTGCCAGACTGGGGGTCCAGCCACACCCATGCGTGTCATGGTCTTAACCAACCTGGGTCACAAACTTGTGGGGGAAAACAGCCTCTCACCACTTTAAAAACAGCAGTCATTGTCACTGCCACAATAGCCTATGACTTCATGTGTCCCCACAGAGGGGCACAAACACTAGATTCCAAGTTTAAAAGGTGTTTAGCTCACTGCATTTTAACTGGCATTCTTCATAACCCTATTTTATTTTTTGGCTTCAAAGATCAGCATTCTGAGAAGGGGCCCCAGTAGACACAATGAAGGGCCTCAGGGGCCGGGAGGGGATGAAGTCAGGCCCGGCCAACGTGGCTGACGTGGCCTGCCGTTACCATCACTGGCTGCGGTTCTCAGCTCCCGAAGTCTGCACAGAATCAGACGCACAGCAACCTCTGCAACTGCTCCTTTGGGTGCTTGGCTGACAGCCCCTCCTCCAAGAAGCCCTCCCCGCCTGCCCCGCTCAGCTCTCCATTGGGCTCCTGCAGTCCTCTGCCACCGGGCTGTCACTGTCTGGAGATGGGTGTTGGGACTCAGTCAGGAGGGGGACCTCAACCGTCCTGGGTCACCATCGTGTCCCTGGCACTGCCCAGCACAGGGCTGGACTAATAGTAGGTATCGAAACTGCTGCTGGCTTGGGTGTAGCTCAGTGGCAGAGCAGCACTCAGCATGTGGCAGGTTCAATCCCCAGCACTGCCAACAGAGGCGCTGCAGCTCTGGGGCCCACCACCCACCCGCCATCCTCTTCCCTTCACCAGGCCTCAGTTTCCCCACCCAAATGCAAACAACAATCCCTGGGGTTCCTGACAACCCATTTCTCGGAGTAGGTGGTGCCAGAGACTGGCAAAGGGCAGTCACAGAGCTGGAGTCGGTCACTTCCAAGTCTTGCTAAGTCCACTTTTCCAGCCCAAGCCCCAGTGTCGAGCTGTGGGTTTTTCCCTGGGCCACCTCAGCACTGCCCATACCACCATCTATCTGCCCACCCTTAGCTGGGCACCTGTGGGCCTTGCTCAAGTCACGGCCAGAGCCTGAGCCCAAGGAGATCCTGTCTGCCCACCCAGTTACAGGAGGGAAACTGAGCCACTAAGGTGACAACTGTATCTTGTCTATTTCCTCTGGGGCTGAGATGCAGTATAGGAACAAGCAGGGCTCGGAGCTGGCCCACTGCAGCCTGGGCTTGCGTGTGATGCCATCAACATGTCCCACGGCCGGGCCTTGTGGGGACATCTATGTTATCAGTATTCACAGACAGGATTTTACATGTGCCATGGTCCAGGAATGCAACTGAATTATTATTTTTTTTTTTGGTACCGAGGATCGAAGTCGGGTCCTTGCGCTTGCGCAGCAGGTGGTGAAACCACTGAGCTAAATCCCCAGCCTGCAACTGAATTATTAAACTGAAAACTAATCACCGAGAGGAGTGGCAGAGACAGTGTGCAGGCAAGGCAAGGAAAGAGGCAGTGGCATCTGCACGGCACCCAGCTCTTCCTGCCTGCACACTTGTGGCCCTCCAGCACCCCATCAGGTTGGGAGGTGGCAGCATGGGAAGAGTCACAGTGATCTACTCCCAGGCGGAAACTCAGGGCTCTGAGTACGGGAGGGTGAGGTGCCTGGCACAGCATTTCATACTCAGCACCTCAGCAGGGAGAGGACCGCACAGCCCCAGTGTGACAGGGGGATTTGGGGCAGGCTCTGGCCCACCAGACAATGGCTTGTCACTGACTGATGACCCCTATGACCTGTGTGGAAGAGGCCATGTGACACCCAACATCCTGCTCGAGAAGGCAGGGCGCCAGGTGTGGTGCCACATGCCTATAATTCTGGGAGGCTGAGGCAGGAGGATCGTAAGTTTGAACCCAGCCTGGATAACTTGGGAACTCAGCAAGGACTTGTTTTGAAATAAAAAATAAAAAGGGCCAGGGATGTAGTTCAGCTCTAAAGCCCTGGATTCAATCACCATTTTGGGGGTGGGGGAAGCAGGTACTGATCTGTCAGACATGGTTTCCAGGCAGTCCCGGAGTTGGCGGACATGGCAGGACCGCACTTCCCAGACAGGCAAATAGCTGGGACAGATCTGTGTCCCTTTAAGCACACTGTGGGATGACCTCCCGACCCACAGAACCAGCCAAGAGCAACAGAGTGGCAGGACGGGAGCAGGCCAGGCCCTAGGGGAAGGGCGGGGCAGGGCAGGAGCGGCAAGGAGGGCAAAGGCTCAGGGGCTTGGGCACTCTAGGGCCAGGTGCCAAGGGCAGGCTGTGCAGTGAAGGGCACAGCTGTGGCCCGAACTGACGGGGGCTGGAACCGTCACTGCCTCCCCAGCACACCTGGGCCCCAGGTGGGCTTCGCCGTGTAGCACCCTATGTTCCCCCACCTCACACGGGGTCTCGCAGGGGCTGAGGGTGTGGGTTCTGGGGCCAGGCTGAGGGGCAGAATCCTGGCTCCCAATTCACATTCTGTTCTGCCCAAAGAGACTGACCCCGTGCCCAGCCACCTGGCCCTATCGTAGGGGTGTGGCACTGCCTCTGAGGTCCCTGTGGAGATCCCTATCCTGTTTCCTCTGACCCTGGAAGCAGCTGTGGCACCCCTGGGGTGAGGACAGGCATCCAGTAGTTGTGCTGAGCAACCAAACGACAGAATGCCCGGTGTGCACACATGTGTGCAGGGGCCTGTGGGTACATGTGCTTGTGAAGGGCAGGCCTCAGGTGTGTTTGCTGAAGTCGTGTTCTGAATCCTGATTTATGCAGGGGATAAAGTTCAAGTGGCTGCCTAAGGAGGGGGAGGGGGAGGGGGAGGGGTGTGTGTGTGTGTGTGTGTGTGTGTGTGTGTGCATATGCGCATACTTACACACAGAGCCGGGAAGCAGGACTACAGCCAGATGTGGTGACACATGCCTGTAATCTCACCACTCAGGAGGCTGAGGCAGGAGGATTGTGAGTTCAATGCCAGCCTGGACTACATACATAACAAGTCCCTCTCCAAAAATAAAAAAAGTAAAAAGCACAAAAAGCAAGCCTGCATTGGAGATGGATTTGGAGGGGTAAGGGCTTGGAGCAAGAGCCATGTTCTGATCCACAGCTACCTCTTTCCTTCTGAAAAGGACATCTGCAGAGTCTTGGGCAATAAGGGACACATGTCTAAGTAGCCAGCATGAAAAGCAGTGCCGGCAGTGGCAGTCCGCCAGCAGAGGGAGATGACTGAGGGTGGGGGTGGCTCCCCTTCAGGAACTTAAGCCCTTTCCACGCCCGACTTCATTTCCAGCTCTGTGACCCGGGAGATGGGCATCATTACGTCTCCCTTTACAAGGGGAAGCAGCCATCTGCCCAGCCACACAGCCAGAGGTGGCAGGACTGCACACGCCCCAGGCCTGTCTCCCACTACTCTGCCTGGCTGGAGGGGGAACCAGGATAGAGGAGACACAGGCAGAGGCAGGACTGCTACAGCACCTGCAGGCAGCACCCGGCCACAGGGGGTGCTCTAGCTCACCCCGCAGTTGTGCCACTGTCCCAGGCAGAGGCTGCCCTCTCCACTGTGGCTCTCACAAAGGGACACAGAGAAACCTGAGGCCGATGCT